AAATTTAAGGCACTTCATAAAAAACTTAAAATCCATCCTCGCAAATATAATAACAGATTTGCAAATCTATATGCACTACCTAAATTTCATAAGACTCCGGTCAAATTTAGGTTCATTGCCAATAGTACAAAAAGTTAAAGGAAATAGATTATCTCTTTGCACAAAAACTTCATCTCATACGTGACCTCATTAATAATTATGATTTTAAAGATCTACATTGCAACTGGTTAATTTCAAGTAATGAACATGTTCTAATAATCTTAAATACACTTAAAATAGAACATATCCAATGCTACGACTTTAAAAACCTCTATACTAATTTGCCACTTGAAGAAATTTATAAAAGTTTACTTGCTCTTCCTGAAATATTTCCCCAATTTTCTACAATATTAAATGCAGAAAAATGGCAACTTTTTCTTTCATGCATACTTTTCAATAATTATATTCAATTCAACAACAACATATTTAAGCAAATACAGGGAATTCCCATGGGAGGTAATTTTTCAACTTCTGTCTGTGAATTATTCCTTTTTACAAAAGAATTGACTTTTATACATTTACTCAATAAGGAAGATCATAAATTTTACCAACACATCTTTCGATATATTGATGATGTAATAGCCTTCAACAAGTTTGAAAATGCTAATATCTACCCTTCATGCCTAAAACTTAATATTACAAATACCGTGCAACATGATATAGTCTACCTTGATTTGCACATTATAGATAATAAATTTTGGAAAGTCTATGACAAACGAAGAGAATTCAACTTTTCAACACTTAAATTAACCAACTGGTTAATTTAAGTGTTGAAATTACTTAATTAACTTAAATTAACCAATTTCAACACTTAAATTAACCACTTAAATTAACTTATGGGCTATTTCATTTTTGGCAGCTTGAATGCCCTAACTTGAAGAATTACCACTTTAATTAACCAATTACTATTTTTTCATTATTTCTGCTTACTTTAGAGGCTATTTTAGGTAATATTTTGTTGAATTTGCCATTTTCTCTTTTACCCAGTCCAATTTTCTTCAAACTACTAAGACAAGATGCCATTTTGAATCTTTTCCGCATTTTTCAACACCTTTTACCCCCCTTTGCAATGATTCAGGTTTTCTGCCAATGGTTAGTCACTTTACATTGGCTCTTTCCCAGTGACGTTGTTTCCCCCCTTTCTACGTCACCTGGCAAGATGGGGAGCAGTGTGTAACGCTCGGGGTTTGCCCACCCTTTTCGAGTTTGCTCATTGACCAAGGAAGACGGCAATGGTACAGGTCTGTTTTAATAATTTTTTCTCTTAAAGATTTTTTTCTATGTCTTGGCAAGACCCTTGTTACAATTCGTCTATTATATTTTTCCATTTTGCTTTAAATATAATTTACGGTATTTTTACAAAGTATTAACTCTTTAAGCTCGCAGGCCCACCCATAAGATATTGTATATTTTGACTAACAGCATATCGCTATTAATTATTTTTTTCTATACATCATTTCCTTTCCATTATTTATTTATTACCTTTTTACACCTTAATGTGTTAATGTAAGCAGACGCGTCGGGAAATTGGAACAGAGAATTGAGACTAAAGTTTTTGACATAGTTTATTTAATTCATTGAAAAAAGTGTTGCGTGCAGTTTCAATTGTCTGTTTCGGCGAAACGCGTGATAAAATTAGCTTAGTTCGAAATTCATTGAAAAAGTTTCCCCTGACGAGCCAAAATGAACTTCGAATTGGGCTAATCATCCATTTACCGCTTCTTAATTTTTATTTTATCTTTATTTCGATCAATTGATTAGTTCTTTTACTATGTTTTAAATATACTTAATTAGTTTAACATATAGCTTACTATTTTTGTTAATTTTTACTTGTAAATATTAAAATGTTGTATGTTTCTCTTTTAACGAAATTCATTGCAACTAAATTTGCTTATGTTGAAGTTTTCGCGAAGTCACAGTTTTCAGCAACTTTTTAGCGTGCATACTAAAATTTATCTTCTAATTTCCTTAATTTTGCAGCACAATGCACAAAATTTTTGACCACATAGGTCTTTTATTGTTTGTTCTTTCTACTTTACTTTAAATTATATATATATATAAAACTGTATAACTTATGTATAAATTTAGTTGCTATATCAATTAGTAAATGGGCCTTTTTGAATTAGGAAAAAGAGAGGTGGAAGGAAGAAAAATGAAACAGAATATACAGTGAAAAACTATTACAATTTTAATTATTAAAAAAAATAACAGTAAGTTACACATTTTATAATATAAACATTTAGAAGAATAAGCAGATAGAAATAATCATTTTATTTAAATTACATAAAATACCTTATTATACTATATAAACCATGTATATTTTACATAAACTTATAATGTATTTCTCCTGCCTTCTTAGCATGTGTGGTGGTCTGCACGCTGGGTGCTTATTCCAGGAGTCCGTGAATCGATTTCTGGGGAAGACTTTGCTCATTTTTCACATTTCCTGCTTCCGAAATACCTAATGTCTCTACAGTGGAGCCTGAGCTAAAAGAGTGGTGGATGATGATTCTCCACATCCAGGATTTGGTGATTGGATCCCCTAAAAAACCCTAGTCGCCCTTTAAAAGGGGGGAGTATATAAGGTATTTCTCCAGCCTTCCTAGCATGCCTTAGTGGTGTGGTGGTCTGCAAGTGGGGCGTGTATTCCAGAGGTCCGTGGTTTGATTCCCGATGAAGGCTTTGCTCATTTTTCACATCTCCTGCTTCCAAAATACCTAATGTCTCTACTATCTTACTGAATGTTAACTAATATATGTAAATATATAATTTTATCATCGATTTCATCATAGTTTCTTACATGATTTGCGATTACCAAATGTAACCTTTTCATAGTTTCTTTCTTTCTTTCTTTCTTTTTTTTTTTTTTTTTAAACTTCAGTATGCTTTGTGTTTACAATAGCTAGTAATAAACATTGACTGGCTAAATCTTTTTTCAGTCCGTCAAACAAATACCACATACTAGGATGGCTACAATTAAATAATGAATTTAGTACCTTATGAAAGCTTTGTATTAATTTGTTGTTTTTGAAGATTTATCGAAGGCTGCTTCATAATGATTCCACACTTTGATTGAAAACTGTGGTCTTCTACATTTTGGCTCCAAACTTAAAATAACTACATTCAAACTTCAATTTCTATAGATACACATCAAAAGTATGCAAAAATAGAGTAAATAAAAAACAGAAATAAACTATTGGCAGTTATAGGGGGGGAAAATGTCATACAGGGGGCAATGGTATAAAATATTACAGTACATGCAAAATTTTACTACAGTTTTCATCCTTTTATATACCGCCCCTGAAAAGGTTAATATGAGCATTTGTCCAATAATTTTTTCAAATGATCAAATAATTTTTCTTTAAAAGGTCTAGGAGTAAGACGTTTAAATCGATTGATAATTGTAAGGATATTTCTATGTATTTTAGTTATCAGTGGGATTATTTTCATGTGAGCATATATCTATGATGCATGATTAAGGCTGTTCAACTATTTATAATATGATTCTGATGTAAAATATACTAATATTTAACTAAATATTCTAAATTTGATGTTCTTTGCTAGTTTCATCCTGTAATTTTCTTGCATTTTTATACAACACAACAACAACAAAACAACAAAAAAAAAAAAAAAAAAAAAAAAAAAAAAGCCTGAATAGCAAAGGAAAGCTTCTATTTAATCAAAGTATTTTTGAATATGATGAAAGTAAAATTATCATTTAATGTATATACTATTGTGTGGATAAACTTGGTAATATTTGATTTAGTGATGTAAGACAAAATTATAACTGATTCAACACTGATTGAATCTTTATAAAAAGTTCCACACATGTCTACAGTAGATTAAGACAACTCAAACATAATTTAACATAAAAATTAACACTGAAAGATCGGTAGAGGGATGGAGTTTATATAATGTAAGTTCCATTAACTCAATAAATATCATTTATTGTTGGATATTTTCACTTAGTAAATGCTAAAAATGAAAAAAATGGGAGATGTGATCTAGCAGGGGGTATGAATTAAAACTGGGAGAGATGGAATCTAAATACAAGATGAAAATATATCCTCTCACCTCATTTGTCACGTCAATTTTAACTACTTAAAAAACACTTAAACAACTTGCTAGCTCTGAGTAAGGCTAAAATTTTAATACAATTGAAAACTTCTAATTTTTAAGAGCTGAATATAATTTTATTGTAGAGTAATAATGGAGGTAATTCTCATTTTTGTAATTAATTAAACAATTAGTTTTCATTTACTACTAAAATTGAGTATTGAGTGACTACTTCAAGGTGTAAATGGAAAGTACGCCCAGCTAGCAATTAGAGGGTCCACAGCCCAGAGAGAGAATTACTTACTTTGCATGATAACTGATCCACAATAAACCTGATGACTCTATAAGGTGGCACCTAAACTAAAAGGTAGTGGATGATATTTCATCATTACCAGGGTTTGGTGATTGGGCCCTCTTCTACTCACACTTGCCATTTATGTGGCACAGAATGTAAAGGTGGTCTCTCTTCTTACCACTTGCCTTCATGGTGTAAATGGAAAACATATCTGATTATCACCTGGAAGAACTGGAGTTCAAGTCCTTACAAAGGAACTGTACATTTTTTAAAATGCTGCTTCTAAAATAATGCTGATAACTATAAAGTATGATATTCAGATGAAGGAAAAAATTTTCTAAGAGCTCTTATTTTACTGACAGAAATTCCTTTTTGATAATCACATCATGAAACCTTTTTTTTAAAACTAAAATTAAAAAAAAATTAGTTATACATACAATAGTTAGAATATTTGTCAACTTCCCCATTTTAGGATCAAAATGCATTAAAAATGCATATTTTCAGATTAACAGATAGCTGTGATACAAGTATCTATTAAATCCTTCTAGTGATATTCTTACTAAATTAAACATACAAATAACATTTAACATATAAAATTATTAAAGCTCACATTTTATCACCAATAGCTTCACATTCTTTAATAATATCCACAAGAAGAACCATTTTCCCACTCAGCTCAATTTTATTTTTATCTTCCTCAGAAATGAATTCATGATACCATTGTTTCTCAGGTTCAGGTTCTGACTCAGTCTCACTATTTTCAGCTTTTAAAAAACAAAACAGAAGTATGAACTTTAACCATTAAACAAAAAACATGTGGTTGAGCATATATACAAGAAAAATAAGCTGACATAATATTTTCATTTTTCATTACATTCATTTTTACTTAGCACAAAGTGAAAAGCTATCAGCAACTAGCTACCAAGTCATTATACTTCAACGTACTCTGATTTGATAAAAACTACAAATTGTAAATTGCAGTAATTCATTCAGGGTTTGTAGCCACATTTTAATTAAAAAAATAAGCACCTATAAGCACTTTTCAAGCACATTTTAAGAAAAAAATAAGCACCTGTCTAATTACATTATACACAACAGCATAACCTTAAAAGAAAAATTAGATTTGTAATTTAAAATATGAGAAAGGCAGTATTTATTAAGAGGAGCATTACCTCAACCATGGAAAACAATTACCTTTCTTTCTTCTTCTTTTTTTAAATTTTAAATAACAGTTCACTTTACAGAGCTGGTTTACAATGAGTGGGGGGAAAAAAAAAAAAAAAAAAACTATGCAGAATTGACCTATATTATAAGATTTAATGATGAAATTTCAGTTCAGAATATAGAAAATAAATAATAAACCATATTTATTGTATTTGCTTGGCACCTAATAATAAATACAATTTATTTTTCCACTCATATTAATATTTAAATAATTCAACTTAAATCAAAATTCTGAACATTTTCTAAATTTTCACTGCATATCAGTTTTCCCTTAACAGATACTGCAAGCAAAGTAATTTAAGTAAAAAAGAGGAACATTTCTGAAATCAGAAGACGGGAAATTGCTTCATGCAGTCATTCATCCTTTAATAGTAAAACTAACCCGCATACTCGGAAAATGCCAAATATTTAGGATAGTCAAGCGTAAATGGAAAAAGAGGAGTGGGAAGGGGGTAGATTGTAACCACTGTTCTTTAGATTTTTCAGCTAAATAAATGCTTTTGGCATTTCGATATGTGCATCATATAAAAATAGACCTATGGAACTGAAAAATATTCTGCTTAGCAAACACAGTAAAACCCTTTTAAGTGTTCATAAACAAATCTCACACTGAACACCAAAATGCAAATCTCCAAAATATCGCAAACGTTATTGCACAATATGTGCGCCGTAATTCTTCCGTATGTGATATTACGCAATCGGAATCAACAGCTGCCGGTATTCGGAGAATACAGAACTAAATAAAGGAAAAGAAAGAGACTTACTAATCTGGCGTGTTTTTTATTCTAATTTTGAACAGAGAGTATTAAATTTCCAGAATGCATTCTTCACTTGAGTTGGCAGACGGCAGAACTTTTAGTTCTATTCAATCCAGATTGGAAATAAATAAATAAAAAAAAAAGTCTGTTGCTTGTTTTGCAGTGAACTGTAACGGTTTCAATATTCGAGATTTTGCGGAGAAAGGGAAGAACCTCCGTACAGTATAATGTATTGGCAAAACAAATGAAATTATTTTGACTACTCAATTACTTTCCTTTCATTTAAGCCATTCCGAATATTATTCCTTAGAACGCTAATCTGTCTTATAACACACATACCCATTTTTTGAAGTTTATCTATCCATTTTTGAAAGTTTATCTATCCATTTTTGAAAGTTTATCTATATTGCAACTATATAAATATTCATACATATACTCAGAATATAAGCATAATGATCGTAATAAATGCGAATATGAACTGACCACGCGGAACAAGAATGCAAATTATTAAAATTTTGATAAATATTCAAACGTGTGTAGTATTTGGGTGGGAGGAAAAGAATATCGAATGTACCGGAAATTTTCTACGGCTTTTGCAATTCTTTGACCAATAAAACGACGTGCACCTGTCTGTACTCTCGCGCATACCAAAGGTTACGTTAATGCAGAGAAAGGGGGAACAGCTATTTCCAGGAGTATGATTCACCATCTGACGTTCCATACAAGGAAGAAAAGTTGTTTATTTAGTTTCGGTTTTGGTATGGGGAAAAATGCGCGTTCAAAAAAAAAAAAAAAAAAAAAAAAAAGGGCTTTAACGAAAAAATAAGCACCTATAAGGCCCTTTATATTTTATTTTCAAATATAAGGACTTATAAACACTTGTAAGGACCGCTACAAACCCTGTCATTTATGTGGCTGTGCAAAAACTATAATTTTATAATTTAAGAATGATTAACTATTAATAAAACTTATAAATATTAAAGCTATAATTTTAAAATATATAAGTTTACATTATACATATACAGTCAAAAGTCGTTAATCCGGACTCATCGGGACTTCGGCGATTCCGGATTATAGATCATCAGTTTAAATTTCTTAAGATGGCATGCAGAAATTCTAAAATTAAAAAGATGAAACCGTAATTTATGAAATAAAGAACAATTATGATCTAAAAGGTATCAAAATTTACAAAAAAAAAAAAAAAAAAAAAAAAAGCTTAATATTTATTTATTTATTAAACATTTCTTTCAATGTAAGTTGTTTAAGTTGCTTCGTTTTATGTGATAATACTTTCTCTTTAATTCTACAAACAGACATAATTTCTTGTTCAGTTACAAAGTTTCGCTGTTCAAGTCCCGTTAATTGCTGTGCCGAGAATACCGACTAACTTGTCAATCGAAATTTTTTCGTTTTCACTAACCTCTCTGTCACATTCTTGTCAATTGAAATTTTTTCGTTTTCACTAACCTCTCTGTTACATTCTTCATGTCTTTATCCATTTTTTGCAGCAATTCCACTTTTTGTTGTTGGACATCGAAACATACTTTCGTTTTGTAGATTCTTTGGAAGTTCCAGCATCGGAAATTCTATTTGACATAATCGAAAGTTCAAGTTTACTTTTATAAAATTGCTCTTACAGTCTGCAAAAAATAATAAGCACGATCTAATTCGAAGATTAAGGAACAACGCAATCATTAACATTAACTGAAATAGATAATTAGATAATTTTAGCTTACACCGCCTGTTATACATTAAACGCACAGGCGAAAACGTATTCTGCACTTGCGCACATGCATATGCGCAGTAGTCAAGGGCTTACGCGCACACGTAAAACGCTGTGCGCATGTGCCAACGCGGCGCATGTGCAGAAAGTTTTTAGCTTTGAGGTCCGGATTATAGATCATTCTGGATTATGGGTGTCTGAATTAACAACTTTTGACTGTATAAGTTTCACGATTTAGATATGAACAGAAAAAGAAACATAAGATTAAATACCAGTTACAAATAACAAATTCTTATATTTTTTCAACCCTCCAATACAGTATGTCTCAAGAAATGAAATACATTTTAGAAATTATATACAGCAGAAGTCCAGAAATCCGCAAAGCTTGGGACCAGAGGTTGTGCGGATTTCAGGACAGAAAAAATATTTCATAATATTCATGGTAAAAGTGCAAAATATATAAGGCATATTAGATACATTTAGTTAAATTATTATATACATTATTGCAATAACTTATTATATGCATTAAATTATTACTACATATATAAATTGATTATATTATTCATTGTATTATATATACACAGCATCGAGTTATGCCGATTTCACCTCACGCAAAGATTTCCGGTTTCGGATTCCGGTGTTAGAATCACTGTTGCTGTAACATCTCAACAGTTTTTCTTTATTTTTCCATATTTCATACACAATCGTATCGCAATTCTATATGATTCTGCTATAAAATTAACCTGTATCCATCTTTTGCAGAATTTGCACTTTTTGCATTACCGTCAATGCAACGTGTTTACGTTTTTCAACGTTGTAAGCAGTAAAATCATGAGTGCGTTTCTTATCTGTAATTGTATTAAAAAGGGCTGAAATGTTAAATATTCTTAATTTATCCACAAAATATCACGGTAAAAAAAAAAGGCAGCACTAAATAATCTTGTGAAATAACAAAGCTCAGAAAATATAACAATGTGAATCGTGAACTTGAAAGAAAGAGTTGAGTGAATCGTCTGCTTTCTTATCTCGATGCAAATTAGAGGGGAAAAAACTTTTATCATGATATCAATAATTTGGTATTTCCGTTATGACTCATTATTATTTGGTAAGTATTTTTTCTTCGATATTTCGAGCTCAATGTTGTGGTTTCCGGAACCTATAAACTGAATGTTTATATTTTGAGAGGCAATGCAGATTTCAGGTCGGTGGATTTTCGGTATTTGACTGTATCTTATAAATTAGGGTATTGGATAAAAAAAAAAAAAAAAAAAAAAAAAAAATTTAAGAAAACATGGTGCATACCATAAGACTGACAAACAGTGTTCTAGAGTATAACAAATACATGCTACATAACTTCAATCACAGCAGAGGAAAGGATTTGGCAACAGACAGTTGCCCCTCTGTTGAACTCGACTTCTCTTTTCGACCTCCACCAGTATATCTGTAATTGTTGACATACACTGGTGATGATCCAAATATACAATAATCTAACCAAATATTCGGTCTTTCATCAACGTATTTGGTATATGTTGACATTCTCCAATTTTGGTCTTTCACAGTAACATACATATAAATGATGAAATCATACTTGCTTTTAATCATTATTCAATAAATCATTTACTTTAATACTTGCTTTTATCAATATTCATTACAGATACATTTAGTCTATTTTCTTTAATTGGGCAGTGATATGTTTTGGTAAATTTTGTTCAAGAGGTTTAGTTGAGATTTTTGGCAGTGTGACTGGCCAATGCCAGCAACTCAACATTTCAATCAATATACCATTGAAGGATCAGTTACAAAAATATTATGAATTTGAATAATGATAAAGGCAGCTCAATACAATGTGAAGTAAATTCTGACAGTGAATAATATGAAATAATTTAGCAGCTCAGAAAAACTAAATTTTGCTACTGATTCAAAAGAAAGGGTTAAAATAAACAGATTTTAATAATAAATAAACAGAATTTAAATGTATCAGATCAACTTCTATTAAATACGAGAAAATTAGATTTGTTAGGTTGAAAATTTGATTTAAAAAACTTAAACATATTTCAGC